TGTTTAACATGATCACAATCAATATTATGACAACTTTTAAATTTTAATTAGCTCACTCTATTGTGTTATTGGTATATTTTTTTAAGTTTATTTCAGAAAAAAAAGTGTATTTAAGATAAAGTTAATAAAGTAACAACATTTATTTTATTGAAGTAGATTTCCTCATTCGAAAAAAAGTAAAAGCATGTATACAAAGATAATTTAATTTAGTGAGGTGGAATCAAAGCTATTAATAAAGCTCAGTTAGATAAGTCTCCTATTATTTGTTAACGTTCAAAAAGTGTCATGAGAGTTTGCGTGATGGGTTTAATGAGAGTCATATGTTAAAAAAGTTCTCATGACTTAGTATTAAAATATCACAACATAATTGAAAACAAAAGAAAGAAAGAGTGATAGTTTAAAAATAAAGTATGGTGTGCAGCATTGTTCAGTGATGCACCCTTGGTTTTTAAAACTTAGAGTTGAGCTATAGAAAACTCTATAGAACTCTTAACTTAAGTGTCATTAGCTGTTATTAGTTGAGCAATAATATTTTATGAAGCTAACAAATTTGGAAATAAAATAAATTATCATTTTATTAAGATCTCATATATATATATATATATATATATATATATATATATATATATATATATATATATATATATATATATATATATATATATATATATATATATATATATATATATATATATATACATACATAAGATAGTCGATGTAGCATCACTCCACGCATGTTTTAAAATTATATTATAATAAAACAACAACTAAAACATCATTATTAAAAAAAAACATTCTAGTCATTATTATTGCGGTAGTTTTAAAATAACAATAAAATTTAATTTACCTAATTAACTTGATTTGAGGTAGCAAAAATGTTTTTTACAGTCTGTTTCACCTTCAGCAGGTTTATGAGGAATATTCTTGATGATCCTGCTGAAAGTAAAACAGACTGTAAAAGATATTTAGATGAGTGTTTTTACTAATTTAAGCCGAGAATTTTTGTATGTCACCTGCAGTGTCTTAAAAATTACCGATGGAAAAGAGATTTTTGTACATTTCGGGGTGTTGCTCAATGCAATGTTTTGTCAAGGCTTGTGTATCATGTTATTCTTTTGCAAATTTTCTGATGGATATTTTGATGGTGGTAAAGGTTTTCTCAAGTTTTATCTAAGCAATGTTGTACTGCATTTAGAATAGATAGCAGCTTACTACTTCAAAATCAACCTCTCAAAGGACTTATAAAAAGACTAATAAAGAAACATATTTTTGTTGCGGTATAAGAAAACTTGCCCGAAACTTACTCCAACATTTAACAAATCTAGTCATTGAATAACGCAAATAGAAATGAACTAATTTTTTTTGCAAACGTTGGGCTTAAAAACATTGAGCACTCCAATGTTAAAATAAACTAGTTTACATAGTGTATTTTACAGTTAAAGTGCTCAATGTCTTTTAAAGACATATTTAAAAAAAGATTTTGGCAGTAAGATATTATTTCTTGACATCCTAATAGTAATATTTTTGGTTAAGGAAAACTACAATATTAAAAAATTTAATTTAATTCAACTTACATGTATTTAACTTTACTAGTTAATAAAACAATTTAATATAGATTCATTTGTTAAAAAAATATATTTTTATAAAACAAAAAGCATCAATATAATTTAAGAGCAATTAAATTATAAAGCATCAATTTAACTTTGAACCAACAAACTTCTGATGGAAAGTATTGCCAAAGTTTAGAATGTAAAAGTATTACCGTAGTAGTAGCGTGTAAAAAATTGTGTCGCTTTGTTATTGCAAATGCATATTAATACATGTTAATTATGGTAAATGCATAATAATACATTTACAATAACTAATCGGACTAATTAAATTAATAATTTTTTTTTTAAATTTACACATTGAATCTATAACAAAAAATAATATAATTTTACGTTTTACTCTCTGTACATGTTTTACTTAACACTCTCGGTATATGTTTTTACAGGAATGGCTTCCTAATTTAAATCGTCAAAATATTTGCTCCAATCTAAAGAATATATTCATAATATTTCATATACGTGTTCCATACATAACATATGCAAGTCACGATATCCAGCAAAGGAGAAAGAATGTTTTTCGGACATTGTGAAATTTTTTTAAATTTCAATCAAAATAGGCAGCCACTTCTGTATTTAACGGCTCCTGCGTATTTAATATGGTTTTTTATACTTTCACATCAAGTTAAAGTACCTTCCTCAAGTTTTCAGACCTATGTTTTATATGATTCCGAATCAGTATAATGTATTTTATCATTGTCCATTAGGGGGGAGGGGGATGAAAGTCGAATAGCGCCTAAATAGATTAATATAAACCACACTTACATACTTACGTGTATCTCCTTTGTTTGCACAGGAGACTAAATGCGATTAACTAAAGATGAAAAATACTTAAAGGTTGAGAGAATGCATAAAAGAATTAAATTCATTAAAAAAATTTACGTTGATGATGTAACAGTTGTCTAAAAAAACTAAATTAATGCCTTCCCCCTCCTATAGGTAACTAATAGACAGTTCCTTTGATACAGTCATGTGCAAGTGCGTACTTTCATGTGTAAGTACGTATTTATGCGTACATATTTCACGTGTACTTTCATAAGTAAGAGCGTATTCATACGTACGATTTTCGCGTATAGTCATGTGTAAGTGCGTATTCCTTTGATACAGTCGTGCGTAAGTGCGTAAAGATAGGCGCCTAAAAAACTCTGTTCCTGCCGCCTAACTAAATTACCTTCAATATCAAGAATCCACTATTCTTATCTTTATCAAATGTTCTCTTTATTATAAGTTATTTATAAAATTACTTACCATAAATACTAAAATGCCTATCACTGAAAAGAAACTCATTGAAATCCTGGACCAACACAAGAAAGAGATAATCCGAAGCTTTGAAAAAAGCCTTATCATTAGTACTTAAAGATACTTAATATACACTTAGCAAAATATATGACATGGTCATCAATACTAAAAAAGAAATGCTTACACTAAAGAATCAACTAATCTCTTTCGAAAACGAAATTAATTAAATAAAAGAAAGTAACAAACACTTTAAACAAACTCAAGAAATTTTTGATCTCAAAATAGAAGACCAAACAAATCGAAGTATGAGAAATACTCTTATATTGCAAGGAATAAAAAAAGATTTAAATAAAATCTGGCCAAAAACTGAAAATAAAAAAATTAAGGTTCTAGTTGATCATACAAAGATTCATCCTGAAAAAGCTGTACATATAGTTGCACGAGCCCATCATGGAAAAAAATCACACAAAAATTCTCCACTTACATCTTTGCCAAAATTTATGACTGGAAATACTCTCATTATGTTATTCACGCTTTCCAATCTAATTATAAATCTAAACATATGGGTATGAATGTTTATTTTAACCAAATATATTCCATTTCACTACCCAGATAGCACCAATACGTTAGCCCAACGTTGTTATAGCAGCAAAAACATCGGAAAATATACCGATAACGCGCCAACGTAGGTTTAACGTCGTCCTATTTTTATTATTGGATATTGGTCAAAAAGCCAACATCAAAACTACGTCGGCTAACAACATTATGCAAACGTCAAATCTCCATTTAAGTTAAAAAGGTGGCATTTCATAATATGGCTTTTTATTATATTAGTTGTAAAAAAGCAAACATTATAGACACTCCTAACAATTTTTTGCATATTATACATAACTTTAAATACATTTATAACATAAAACATTTTTATTTACAAATAAAATATTAAATATCTACTAATATTGCTTAGTTTCAAATTTACTAGTTTAATTACTACTATAATTTACTAGTAAATCAATAATTTATTTATATCATCTAGGCTTTTATTATAATTATTAAGTTTAGGTGTAATTTCAATTACAAATACTTGATTAAAACTATGTAAACAGCTTTTGATAACGAGTAAATGATCACAAAAAGTTTTGCAAAACGTTAACACCAAAAAATCACCAAGTCTTTTGTCAAGAAAAACATTAACAACAATAATAGATCTAAGGAACCACAATCTAACAACTTGTCTACTAGATATAATACTGATGAAATTTTGTTATATTTTTTAATGAAAATTTATATATATATATTCGAGTTTTTTGCACTAATATGTATATATATATATGTATATATATACATATACACACATATATATATATATATATATATATATATATATATATATATATTCGAGCAAAATACTCGAATATATATATATATATATATTCGAGTTTTTTGCACTAAAAATATATATTTTAAAAAACTAAATTAATTTAAGTTAATTTAAATAACGTTTACTTGTCATCACTAAGAACTATATGTTGTAAGTTTTTCCACATATATATATATATATATATATATATATATATCTATATATATATATATATATATATATATATATATATATATATATATATATATATATATATCTATATATATACATATATATATATATATATATATATATATATATATATATATATATATATATATATATATATATATATATATATATATATATATATATATATATATATATATATATTAGGGAGGAGTGAAAACGTGAAAATTTTTGTTTTTGATTTGCTTGACTTAGGATAGTTATTAAAACTTACTCTGTGATACAATCAATTACTCCGTAAAAAAAAAATTAATTTAGGTAACGTCTTGAGGTTCCACAACCAACTTCAAAAGTTAACCATTTATAAGCATTTACTATCCGGTATTTTTTTATTGTAGTTTACTTTTATACGTATTCACGTGCATTTTTCCTGTCTAGAGTAAACAAACAGCGTTTATTGCAAAACATTTTATTCATATAAGATAATACTTTAATTCATTTATAATAACAATTCATATTTAATGGCTGTAACCAGGAAAAAAGTATCTTGTGTCATTTTTGATGCTCCCTCTGAAATGCCTGACAGTCAACTACCTACTTAGGCAGATGTTATGAAGTTTTACAATCTGACAAAACAGAAACTTAAATATGAATTGAACAATAAAAATCCACCACATCACAATGTGGCAGAAATAGTGACAACAAAAGTGGAACAAATATGGGACAAAGCTTCTATACCACATGTAAGCCACCGCCGTGTCCAAGAAATGTTGAACAAGTACCACAAGACGTTCATAAATTTGCTAAAGCCATATAAGTCTAGAAAAGACTCCGGACCATACCGAGAGAAAATACCTCAGTTTAAAAATGAATCTAAAAAACTCTTTGACATTTGCTCCTGCAAAAGTTCTTTCATATCTCAGTGTCAGTGTGAAAAGTCAAGAAAGATACCCGCAATTGAACGTGATTTTCTAGAAGATCAGCGGGGTCCACGAGGTATGATCTTTGCTAAAGTTGATGAGGCCGAATCCATCAAATTGCAAAAACGATGTATTCGTAAAGAGTTGACGCAGAGGCAGATGTGCAGCAAATCTGACATTGATGACATCAGTGAGAAACAGTCAGATGTTTGTAAGGAGTTTTCTTCTACGGAAGAGAAAACTGATGCTAGCGATGACGGATCTGATGACGATTGTATGCTGGATCCTAATGAATAATTTAGAAAGTTGAGTGACAAGCAGATGAGAGTTGAGTTACCATCTCTGGCGTTAACATGTGATCGACATGGTGTATCCGATAGGGCCGCAGCAGGAATCGCCAGTACTGTTCTTCAAGATGTTGGAATAATCCACGAAAGGGATGTTTCTAAAGTGATTAAATGAAGTAAAGTGCGATGAGAGCGATGTAAGAAACGTGGAACATTATGTGCCAATGTCAGTAACACAATCACTGGGCTATATTTTGATGAAAGAAAAGACACTACAATTACCCTTATTAAAGAATGTGATGGGAAATTTCATCGCAAACTAACAACTGAAGAACATATATCCACTATATCCGAACCAGGATCCATCTATTTTGGCCACATACACCAATTTCAGGGTCAAGCAAAGTTATTGCGGCTGAGTTGATTGCATATTTGAGTTTTAAAGAATGTTGACCTGGGTGGTATAAAAGCTGTAGGTTGTGACTGAACCGTTGCTAATACAGGCAATTGAGGAGGTATCGTTCGATTACTTGAAGTGGCATTGAACAAACCGCTGCAATGGGTTCGTATGTCAGCTACATGCTAACGAATTACCGTTAAGGCATTTGTTCGAACATCTAGATGGACCTAAAAATGGTCAAAAAAATTTTTTTGGTCCAATCGGAAAATCATTGGCGGCATGTGAGAAGCTTCCCGTTGTCAAATACACACCCATAAAATGTGTTCTACCAACAGGTTTAAATTCTGACGATTTAAGTACAGATCAAAAATATCTGTTTGACTAGTGCACCGCTGTCAGTGTTGGCGTTTGTCCTGTAGGCCTTTCACTTCGCAATCCTGGTGTTATCAATCATTCAAGATGGTTAACAACGGCTAATCGAATACTACGCCTGTATATAGCCACAAGATGCTCATCGGATGAATTGACAATGGTTACCTTCATCGTAACAGTTTATGCACCAGCATGGTTTGAAATAAAAAATACTTCTTCATGTAAAGATGGCGCTCGACATGTCCATAATACAATTCTGAAATCACGCTACCTCACAGACGAGCTGAAGAAAGTTGTTGATCCAGTAATTCAACGCAACTCATTTTTTACTCATCCAGAAAACCTGTTGCTTGCGATGCTTACCGACGAAAAATCAGAAATACGCGAGTTGGCTCTGAGACGTATAATGAAATCCAGGAAGCAGAAGCGCACGAGTTTAGTTAGATCTTTCTGTGTGCCAGTTAACAATTTTGAAGCTACCAGTTACATAGACATGATCAATTGGCAAAAAACTCCAATATCAGAGCCTCCAATCGTAATGGACATTGATGACGATACTTTTTTAACCATGATCCGGGAAGAAGATACACTAAGACTGGATTTCGCCCGCTATCCTTGTCACACTCACACAGTCGGTGAAGAGGCATATTAAGCTAGTTACAGAAGCTTCCCAGTCGGTTTGCGGTCCAGAAAAACGCGACGGATTCATAAGAGCACGTTTGGAATCGAGATTCCAAACGTGGTCTTATGAATCCGTCGAGAGAAAATGCCGAAACTGGACACTTAAAGCACAACATCGTTTGTAGTTATAAAAACATGTTTGACTGGAGATTTCATGTGTTTTTCTTTTCAAATATTTAGTTCTATTTACTTGTAACTTTCGTATAGACTGTTAAAAATGTATACTGCTACACAAATATGTTGTCATATACAAACTTGAAATTTCAAAAAATATTGTTTTTCATATGAAATATGCCTATAATTCAGGTCAATTGTGGAACCTAAAGATATGCTTTAAATCGTTTGATTGTTTGCCACATTACTAATTGCATATGTCAGCAAATTTTTATAGCTATCCAACCAAGATATTCAACAAAAAATTTTTTCACTCCACCCTAATATATAATAAATATATATATATATATATATATATATATATATATATATATATATATATATAAATACATATATATTTTTATTATATATATTTTTATTATATATATTTTTATTATATATATATATATATATATATATATATATACATATATATATATATACATATATATATATATATATATATATATATATATATATATATATATATATATATATATATATATATATACATATATATATATATATATATATATATATATATATATATATATATATATATATATATATATATATATATATATATATATATATATATATATACATATATATATATATATATATATATATATATATATATATATATATATATATATATATATATATATATATATATATATATATATATTGTAAAGTTCTTCTATCAAAAATTGTCTCTGTTATTCAGAAAAAAGCTATTCAAATAATTAAACTTTTTACCACATAGATTCATACCATTCATTACCACATAGATTCATTCAAGAAACTCCAATTCTGTGTTCCGAGTGAAATTTTAATTTATGTTAAATTATGCAAATCTGCCATGTTGGTTCACAAACAAACCATAACATTCCGAGAAAAAACTTTAGTATGGCAAAAAGCAGTTATTACAAACTTTTGTCAAACTAAAATAAAGGTCGATACAAAACCAGGATCTCATCAGTAGCCAATGTTGATACATATACCTTGAAAAAGGCAGATTATCTTTCCGAGCCACAGTTTTATCCTAAAGTCACCCATGCTGATATTCTTACATATTTTTGTTTGCACCAAGCCACCAAAGAAGAACTTAAATGCTTTAAAAGTTTAGACGCTTATAAATATTTTTTGAGTGGTTGGGAAAGAGATATTGGTGTTAAACTTTTCTGTGATGAATCCATATGCTTGGTTCACGGAAAGGTGATTAAATTTTACTTATCTTTCTTATTTGATTTTGGTATAGTTTCATTGAAACCATCAATGAATGTTATTTGAAAGGCAAAGTTGTATACGAAGCCTTCATATAATTTTTTGGCTTTCATGTTGTCTTTATAACTTGTTTTGATAAATATTTGCAAAAGTAATGTAGCTATAATAATATTAGATATATAATATATTAGTTATATAAAAAATCACATCTTAGTTAAATGATATATATGTAAATGATTAGAACAAACTCTGACTGGCATTGCAGTTAAGTTTGCGTTTAATAACAGCAAACCATTTTGCTCTTCGTTTTGTTAACAACAGCTCAGTATTTTTATCGTGGTGATTTATAACCTTTGAAATTAGATAAAACGATTTCTTGCAGTTTTCAGAACGATTTTCTCAATTTAAAATACAACAAAATACCATTTTTTTAAAAAATTGATAAACTTAAGTATAGCTAATGAAGATTACCGCATGTGCTAAAATCAAACATAAGTTGTTTGTAAACTATCATGACAGACAAATGTATCTTAGTTAGAGTGACGTCATCTCGGAACACAGTATTAATAATTTTTTCTAACAAAATAAAAATTGAAAACTATCTTTATATTTAAAGTTGCATTATTGATAAGATGCCTATTATCTTTACAGAATGGTTTACTCCATTAATACATGTTTATACCAATTCTAATAAGATATCTCAAAGAGGTGGTTTGTGTGCTCAAGCCTTTGATACAAAATTCTATGGTAGGCATTCCTTGAAAGACTCTGCAATGAGTGACTGGAATTTCTTACAAAGTAAGCTAAATACTTTTAATTTAAGTCAACTTAATAAGAAAAGTCTAATAGAAAAACTTCAATTATTCTATTTAAATTCACTTAAGTAGAGACATTAGTGTTGCAGTGATATATTCATACATGTACTAGTAAAAGGCAACCCGTAATACGGGTTTTGGTCGGTCTGTTACATAATTAATTTATAGTAGCTGTTTTCCACAATTTAATCTTGCAAAACCTTAACTAATACCCATTTAGAAAATTGCCTTCAGCTTGAAAAAATTAATCCATCTGTAAAATTAACATAAAAATTATGAGGAGGTAAAATAATTTACCAACTACTACTTAACATTATTTAAGTAATTTACAAATGGCACATGTCATAACAGTGTAAGGCAGAACCATTTTCATCGACCTTCCTAAGTTTAACACAATACGTTTTTAGTTACTGACGCAAAATAATAACACTTGGTTATACTTTAAATTGACGAAAGTGTCAACTAAATCCTTGTAATAATTTTTATAACTCGAACCATTAAGATTAAAATGAAGTTAACTTATATTATACAGGAGTTATCAATTTTTTTGTTATCCCCTTGATTAATTGTTCTTTAGAAAAGAAAATTGTTAACTTAAAAGTGTTAAATGCACACGTTTAAATAAATTTATAAAAAACAATAAAGTTTATTATAACTACGCAACTGAGTACAAATACCTTTCAAACAAAAAAAAATTTAATTTACGATCAAACATAGGTATAACAAATTTTTTAATACATTAATGCATGATAGAACAAACTAAAATAAAAATTATAAGTAGACATAAAAATTTGTAAACCGAGCTGATACGACCCGGGTCTTGTTAAGTCTGTTCAACACAGACCATTTCTATATTATTTGTTTGTCCTCTTTATTTCATTAATTTTTAGTAAACGGTAATTTGCCACCATTTACAAAAAATTTCTTTTGTAACTCGAAATTTAATTTTCCTAAATATTTTGACTCTAATAAAGAGGTTCCTTCCCTCTTTTTGCTTTAATGGTGGCCAGGTGAATAAAATAAAATAATAAAATGTAAAACAATGATCTACATATATAAGAATGTTTTCTTTCTTTCCTCAAAAGTGTTGCAAATACAGACTAAGCTAACTAATTAGTTAAACACATAAATAAAACTTGAGTAACTCGATATTAATTCGCAAAACTACAATATTCTTCATATTTTTAAAGGTTTTTAGTTACGACCCCCCATTCACAAAGATCCCCTTAAAATACGTACAACAAATTATTAGGCAAAAAATAGATAAAGTATAAAATTAACTAATAGCATATATTTATATCTTTTTAGCAAACAAAAATTTACAATAAAAAGAAATCAGGTTTTTTTATTTTATAAATCTTA